TCTTAAATTTATTCCCTGGATGCAGGATGTTGCCTCAGAGGAAGACAGGAGTGAACAAATTAAGTTAATGAGGAAAGAGTATTGAGAGCTGGTTGGGAAAGAAATTAAGAATTCTGATGTGGTCTTGGGTGTTCACAAGAAACTGATAGGTGTCCATGAGAAGCAGTTGGTGGAAAAGGCAAGTTAGACAATGATACTGGGTTTGGGGTGGTTAGATACGTAGGAGCTAGAGCACTTTTTTCATATCCGTAACCACTACCCAAGTCTAAAGCTACCAACATCTCTCCCCTTAACTCTAAGGGGAGTTAGAGTTAACTGTTCCCACCTACTCTCATTTCCTCCAAACCATCCCCATATCACAATGAGTGACCATTTCAAACTGAAAATAAGATCCTATGTCTTCATGCTTAAAGGCTTCCAATGTTTTTCTACTGCTTCTAGGATAAAACCTAAAATTCTGAGCATGCCTACAAGGCCCCTGCTCCAGGACGTGCCCCAACCCACCTCTCTTGCCTCATTTCATTCCACCCATCTGCTTTCTCTCAGCAACCCAGCTACACTGGCCTTCTGGGACCTGCCTTCTTGCCCTCCACCCCAGGGCCTTTGTACGTGCTTCCCTCTCTGCTAGGATACTCTCTCTCCTCGCACAGTTAATCATGCTCAACTCTTCAGGATAGAGCTTATGCACTGCTTCTTTGGAGAATGTCTTCTCAGTCAGATTTCTTGTTAAATCGCTCTTGTGTGGGGCTACGTGGCTTTCCTCCTGAGCACCTCACTCAGTTTGTGATTATGCCCTCGCTGATGTGAAAATGCCCACTGAACCTTCAGTTCTGTGAGGATAGAAACCACCTCCATTGTACTCACTGCCACCAGCATGTAGAAGATACTCAGTAAATATCTGCCAAATGAATGGTTGGAGGGAGGGAAGGAGGCAGAGCCTTTTCCTGAAAGAAAATGTAATAAAGGTAGAATTGCAGTGTTTATTTTGTCTTTAAAGGAAAGAAAACACTTATAAAAAACACAAAACTACTCTCCGATTATTTGGTTGTGAGGGTCCTGTAAAAACCTTCCCCACTGGATGGGGAAGCCAGGTTGAGCTAAGAGGATGCACAGCTTTGGCTTCACCATGTGTAGTTCAAGTTGGGGCTGAGAGGTAGAATTTCAGGTTAGGAGGAATAAGCCCAGGGAAGTGCCCTGTAGTTTTGGCAGTTTGAGACATTGCTCCTTTATCTGGTAAATTGCATACCTGCAGCCTGGGGAAAGCAGGGCCATAAAGAGGGTCTAATATGTGTGATCATTTCCTGGAACTTGGAGAATTAGCCGGAGAAAGGTGGAGCAACAGAAATAAAATTAAGAAATAAACAAAGGGTGCATTTATTTGACTGAAGACTTTCTAAAAGACCTTGAGAAACAGAGGAGCTCCGCAAGATGTTTATGTAATCGAATATAATTTATCTGGGACTGAAAGGAATAATAACCGAAACATATTTCACTTAAGTGCATCTGGAGACGCGTGAAATGAGACTCTCGGTGGTGGCCTGTGCCTGCCCCGTGTCCTTGGTGTTTTGTCCTCAGGCTGCAGACTGGAAACGTGTTGCGTGGAGCAGACATGGAGCACAAAACAGTAAATGACCATACTCAAAATGCCCCACAGTGTAACATCCTCCTTGCTTGGCAGGGAAAGGGCTCACCATTTGGAAACTCAGCAGTGCATTAAGTATTTTAATAATCATTGTTGACACACAAAGCATATGGCCCTTCAGAACTCACTGGGTCAAGTGTTGAAGTCTTCTTCTAGGTTTCTAAAATTCCCTTACAGAAATTCAAACAAAATTCAATTAGGGCACATTTCAAAGCATAGTAATTCATGGGCTTTGTGCTATAAGCGAATGAAATAAGTTTTCGCCTAGGATAAGAGGATATCTATGAGTAACCGATTATGTTAATGTAAAGGAAAAAGCATAATTCACATCCCCACAAAAATGTTAATTTGCATTTAATTAGAAAAATCTAGAGCCTCCCCATAAGCAGGCTGGCCTTGCGGATACCTTGCATTTTCTGTGTCAAGCTTTAAGACCCATCTGAGATATCCCCCATCAGAAGCCTTTACTGTCCACCTACCTACCATTTATACCTGTTGTCTATGGCCACAATAATGCTGTGAAATAAGCAACTGTAACACTCAGTGGCTTAAAATAATACAAATTCCTTATTGCTCCCAAGTCTATGGGTTAGCAGGACAGCTCTGATCTCTGCTGAGCTCCCTCCTGAGTCTGTGGCCAGCTGTGGGGTGGGGAGGGGCTCTGCTGATCATGGCTGGCCTCCCACACATGTTTGGGGGTCAGCTGGCCAAAGGCTGATCTGTTGGGACAACTGAGCTCTCCTCTTGTTTCTTGCATGCACAGCCCTTTCACACTGCTCCAGCTGGCCAGGCCAGGCATGTTCTCAGGTTGGCCTAGCACATTCTCATGGCCATCTCAGAGAAGCCAGGGAGAAAGTGGCAGCATGCTAACATTTATTCTTTTCCTCCAGTTTCATCACATTCATTAGCATCCATTGGCCAAGGCAAGTCACATGCCAAGCGCAGCGTCAGAGTGAGAAGAGATTGCAATGTTACAGGGCAGAAGGTGGGATACTGGGAGGCCAGTCTTCAGGACTTTAAAGCCATCAGCCTACACCCCAGCCCACCCACTCCAGCATTAATCATTCCCTTGCCTGTGCTACCTACACTCTTCAACCTTAGTCCTATTGTACTTTTCCTATTGTATTATAGTACAGTTGCTAATGTGTCTGTCTTCTCTAAAAGAGTAGGGGGACCTTATGCCTGTGTGGATTCATTCATAAGTATTTATTGACCACCTGCTATGCATCTTATTTCTTTACAGACACCCCGGTGCCTAACAGGTGCTCACTAAGTATGTGTTGAATGAATGTATACATGAAAGCTCACATTCATATTCATCTCCTTTCCCTCCAGAAGAAAAGGGTGAGGAAAGATGACTCTCGGGGCACCAGTTGAGGAGGAGGTGTTTCTGGCCCATGCAACTGGTGAACCAGTGAGGACACCTGCACTGAGTATCTCAGCTGCTTGAACATATTTCCCTCCACACTCTCCCACTGCTTCCCTCTGGAACTCTGGTTTTCTTTTCTCTGTCTCCTTATTTCTCTCAAAGGAAGACAGAAAAATCACTGATAGTTAACTTATTCTAGATTCTTGTGACAGTCAGGGCTCCCAAGTTCTCTACCTGGAGTCTCTCCACTCTACAGTGGGGAATGATTTCAGCCCTGGGACTCATTTCAGCTCATCGTCATTTTGAGAGGAGCCGGATGGCTTCTATTCTCTGGTTTTCCCAGCTCTATAGACCAAGAATACAGAGAAATTCTTAGGAAATGTTTTATGCAGATATAGACACAGACCCTCTTCACACAGGGTATAATTCTGTCAATACGGTGTTAAATGTACTACTTCCATTTTTCAATTCCATAGGATATACAGGGAAAACTTGTGTTTCTGGGTAGAATCATCATTCTGAGCCTCTTGATTTTTCAGCAAATAATGTAAGTTGCTTAGGAGGCAGAATAGCATGACTTTGGAGTCAAGCAGGCTAGTCTGCAATACCAGCCCTGCCTGTTACTTTCCCAAACGAAGCCTCTTACCCTCAGCAGTCAAAAAGGGTAACAGCAGAGGCTAAGGGAAAATAAAGCTGGCTGGTGGTGAGTGAATTGTAATAATTGTTCATTTGAATCAATTGTGAGTTATATCTATTGTTAAATTGTTACAGTTGTTAAATTGTTACAAATGGTAACATTTGTATCGATTGTTACTGTTATTCTCTTAGGCCCTATAATTTTATAAACTGTGAATACAAATTAGCATTATTAGTGGTAAAAGTTAATGTATTTTATATTAAATCATCTTCATTAGAAGTGATAAAATCATCACTTCTAAAACTATTTTAAAGGTGATGCTTTAAAATGGTACTCAGGTAGCTTATCTTATGAAATGACCTGGAAAATTTCTGCCTTCAGTCACCAAGGTGTATTCAGCACCTGCTTTGTACCAGGTCGCCAGGTGCTGATCATATAATGGCCATCAAGGTAGACATTGTCCTTGTTCCTGGTATTTATCCTGTAATGAAAGAGCTCTTATTACTACTAACTCACAGTTACCTACCCAGTAACCACCATTGCATGAATTAGCTGAGATAAATTAATGTCTGGCTGGCTTTCCCTGGTTAAAATATGATGTGGTGCTGCCTCAGATTGGAGGGAAGGGGAATTTTAGTGTAACCATTTTTAATGTAGCTGTATGACATTTTAAAACCTTCTATTTCATTATCAGATAATATATAGAATAGATATTCCTGAATCTTTTCCTCACCTTCACTCTGTCCCTGAATTATTCTATGGCTCAGAGATGGATGGAGGATTGCTTGTGCACATACTCAGTTAAAGAGATTTGAAAGTTTATTAGTGGAGGTCGTTTTTTAGGCTGTATCACAGTTCCCCTTTGTGGTATCCTAGACTGGATCTTGGAACAAAGAAAGACATAAATTGGTAAAAAAAATAAAAATAAAAAAATACAAATAACATGTGTTGTTAATAGGATTGTATCCGTTTTAATTTCTTATTTTCAACAAATGTGGGACGTTACCTAAGATGTTAACATTTGGGGAAGCCAGCTTCAAAGATGCCACCCTGCGTGTTTCCACACTTCTCCCCACTCTGGTCAGTTTGCAAATGGCTTGAGAGGAGAGGAATTTTAATATTTCACTGAAAAATGTAATTAGGATGGTAAGTTTGCTATATAATCATACGCAGTACTGTCACTTAGGTCCCTTGGAGACACAGAATGGATGTCATAGGATCTTGCTTACCTAGAATTTTCAAAGGTGTTTTCTTATATGAAAAAGATAGCCCACTATTGGTCTTTGCCAACCGGCAAGTTTTAACTAGTTAAGAGTTTGTTCGGTTCAACATGATTCCTTTTGCTTTCATAGGTCCAAGCACAAGTACGCCTTGCCAAAAAAAGCTTTGACAAATTGAAGATGGACGTGTGTCAAAAAGTGGATCTTCTCGGAGCGAGCCGATGCAATCTCTTGTCTCATATGCTAGCAACCTACCAGGTAACAGGGATGTTTGTCACGATGAACCAAGAATGTTATGGGGTTTAGAGAACAGGGAGAGATGGTGTTTGAGCTAAAAGTATGGCTTGGGCGTTATGAAGTTCTGAGTGCCTTTGTCATAACTTACCTCCTACATCTCTCCCTTCTAGTAGACTGCAGTTTAATCAAACCAAGTATTGGCGACAGACACTGTCAGTTCCCACTCCCTGGCACTGGCTTAGGCGGTGCCTTCTGCCTGACTGCCCTGCCCCCTCCGTTTGTGCCTGTCCAAATCCCGCTCTGTTTGATGTACCTCACACTGTGTCATGTCCTTCGGAAAGCCTCCTGTGAACTTAGCATCGATGCCTGTGCTTCTCCCAGTACAGTCACCCACTCGCCAGGCTCTCATAATGTCATGAACGTGGTTTTGTCTCCTGCTAACCTTGGGTTAGCACTGTGTATCCATCCACAGTACCGTGAGCACCAACAGTGTGTGGGAGGCCGAACTCTAGTGTTGTAGGGAATATAAAAGTTAATAAGTCATCAGTCTCATCTATGCTTCCATGTCATTGAATCTATTCTGTTCATCAGTTTATTAAGTTCTTTAGATTCCACGTATAAGCGAGATCATGTGATGTTTGTC